GAGTCTTCAGGAATGAGGTGGGATGGGTTCTCAGCAGTCAGAGATGCAGAGGAGAAGGAATATGCTGTGAGCAAGACAAGTGACATCCTCTCCCAGAAGTTGCTGTGGATCTTGTTGTTATTAACTGAAGTCTGAATTTGAGCACAAAACTATGAGATTCTGTTCCATAAGCGTTTCTTTTTTTTTTTTTTTTTCCCAAATACTTGAGAGAAGAGGTGTCTGAGTAAGGCATTGTTCTGAAGATGCTGTTTCCATGCCTTTTGAATATATGAAACACCAAGGAAAGCTCTTAAACATGTGAACAGTGATTTGAGCCTTTATTGTTAGTGTGATTAAAAACCAATGCACTACAAAAAAAGAACATGGTCTTAAGGGTTTGTCTACATATTTCAACTTACAGACAAGTACAGAAATCTATGTTGAGAATCCAAATTCAGGAAAGCTGAGAGTATAGCTGTCAGCTTGATGTTTTCTATCACTGGCAGAAATATAATTTTCTGAAATAAATATTGGCACAATATTTATCACAAAATTCTAGAGCTTAAAATTAAAGCTGGAGAGATTCATCTAGCTGAAGGGATGCCAAGCCATAGCCTGTTTACTGCATCCAACCCTTATTCAGTTCACATTTGACTTTTCTGATAGGGTGACATCAGATGTTCTACTTGCTGGCTCTGCAGTGGAGGCACTCTGAGACCCCAGTTATGCAAAGCCTAACATCACAAGAGAAGGAGGATCCAGGAGCTCTCCCTGTCCTCAGTAATATAAAATCTGGACGTGTTAGTGCAGTTGGCCTTATGAAAATTTCTTACCCAGGCTGGGAAGATTGGAACATTGTCTGCCACTCATGCAATTTGATCCCCCACATCTATACTACTTTTTCATTACATTTTTACCCAGGAACTCCTACGCTGTGTCCAAAGCTGCTGGATGGTTGGCCTAAATAATGTGAAGTTCAGTTATCTGGGGAGTTAAGTGTTGTATGCCACTGGTAAAGAGACAAGAAACCAAGGTGCGAGCAGTACTTTAGGCCTCTGCAATGATTAGGAGAGATATGCCCAGATGATCATAGCAGGAAATTCATGACCCATGCCATGCAGAAAGATTAAAAAATAGTCAAGGTTTCGCTCCTATGCTTGAAGTCACTTTTTTAAGTGTACATGAACTTCTTGCCACAGCTTTGTGCTGTGAACTCATGTTGAGGCAATTGCCTATGATGACCTCTAAGTCCCTTTCTGAATTACTTAGTTCTCACAGAAACTTGTACAACCTGCACTTTGTGTTCCCATCTATGTTATGTTTTGTTTGACCATACAAAATGTCCTTTTATTGCTTTGTGATCATTTACCAAATGATTCAGGTCTCCCTGTAATAACCTGACTGTTAAGTGTACTCTTTGATCTTAGCAGTTACTGTGCTAATAAAACTTTTGTACCTTTAACTAAGTTACTGATAAAAATAGGAGTTGAAAATCGATTCCCAGTGGCCTTATGGCTAAGGCTGCATTCCTGACTATTTTCTCAGTAGGTACTGTATTTTGAGATTCATCAGGGGACCAAGTTTTAATTCGTTGTACTGTCTTTTAGAGCCAAGAAATCTAAAATCAGCAGCTAAAGGGTACTCTGTCTAAAATAAATACAAATATATAACAATATATATTTATCATATCAGTTAGACCTAAAATCCAACAGTAGAAAGGGAACAGTTGATTTGAAAAGACCTACTTTCCATGAAATCATGTTGACTGATGCTGAACATTTCTGTAGTCTCTAAATTTAATTGACTGTCTCAAATTGGTTCAATTTTTTTCCCCAGGAATTGATATCTAAGTCCTCTACAATTCCCTCACAATTCCCTCAGCCTCTGATTTTTTTTTTTTTTTTTTTTTTTTTATCCTGGCACTCCTCCAGTTCTTTGAAATTTCTACAGTTTTCAAACATTTGTTAATTATGAACAGTAATGGATATGCTCAGAGAGCAAGTTTCTCAGCAGTTTCCTCTAAGACAATTGGATTTAGATTATTCTCTCCTGCTTGGTTTGATTGGCAAAGCTCTCATTTTGCTGTAGTTGCCTTTCATTTTTCAGTTGTAAGAGGAACTTAATGTTCTGTGCCCTTCACAGCTATGTAAGAGATGCATTTCTCTTGCTTGTTAATAAGAAAATGCTATTCCTGTATATATATATATATATATGTATATATATATATGTGTATATATATATATATATATATATATATATGTTGTTACTAATGTTTCTTAATTTGCTGGATTAGTTGTTATTTAGTTTTTATTTTTTTTCCTTATATGTACTTTCAACATGGGTTATATTATTTTCCCAATTCTATAAGGCTTTTCAAAACATCAGGACTAGTGTCTTTTTGCTTTGTTTGGGCACAGCCATTGCAGTTTGACATGCCTGAGAGATATGTTATACCAGAAAAGTAAATAGTACATCTTGGTCCCTTTGTAATAAATTTGATCTTATCCAGGCATAGATTGAATGCTTTTTTCAACCCTAACTTTTTACTCATTTCTATTGATTATCCAGCCAGGTCACTGTAAATTTCCTGTTTAACACATCCCACCTGGCTTACTGGTCCATTAACCTGGTAGTGTTTTGAAACTGCCTTTTAAAAAGTGTCTTAAATACAAATAGTAATGGTTAGCCCTACATGCTTTTTGACTGATATAAACCTGGTCACTGGGTCATGCAACTAATACCTGAGAAAGGATTTATTTTAGGTCCCTCCTGGATGACATATAAAGTAAAACTTAATGGTTTCTGATTTTTTTATATTTTTATTTTTTCCCCTAGGGAAATCTTGATCCTGATTCTTTCAAACAGCAGGAAACATTTTTAGGGTCTTTCCAATGATTTATAAATCTATGTTTTTGTTGTTGTTGTTCTTTCTTTCTTTCTTTATTTACATGTTTGTCTATTTATTTTAGGAGCTAACTTTGGAATAACTTGACTCTGTTATTCTTTGAGATAGTGGAACTTAAATTCAAGTAAAGCTTCATTCAATATTGCTAAGCCAGTGCATTAATCAAATAGCAGGCTTGGAAAACACACAATAAAAATTTTAACCATAATCTCTTGGTGCCAGTGGGTTGGAAGCACCCACTGTTAAGTGCTGCTGCATTTGGCATCACTGCTAAGAGTCAACCTCCAGGTGCCACAAAAGCTTATTAACTTAAAATATCCTGCTGCACTGTTTCTCAGCTGTAGTGTTGCAACCCTTAAAGTGGTCAGGATAGATTTACTCTGAGGCTAATTCTGCTAGCTTAGAGAAGAGTTGCTTGTCATAGCAGAACACTATTCTGTTGCTGGCAGTTGTTTTCCCATCCTCAGACCCTTAACTTCGTCTTCTATACGTTCACTAAGGTTATAATGAAAACACGGGACCATCCCTAAATGGATGTGACTTTGTGATTTGTATTTTCTCTTAATTAAAGTGACATCAGGCCTAAAGTTTATTTTTCCCCCTGCCCCTTCCTGTATTTTTCATTGTTGATTTTGACACCCTTGACGAGCAGAGGTCACTGCCAGCTTGGTCTCCACCCATGATGAGAGTGCTCCCCTTGATATTGCAAACATAACGTTACAGATCCCTCTGCTGTCTTGAGGAGGCATGTACAAGCTGTGTCGATATCGCATCAAACAAAAGCCATGGGGCATCCAGGTGGTAATCACAGTTTGAGATATCACGTTTTAAGATTCTTGTGATATGAATCTCCTTGATGTTGTTGTACTTTGAAAGGCTGGAGGGCAGTTCAGTGGGAGTCCCAGAAGAAAATGCAAAGAGATGCTAAGCAAGGAGGTGCTGACCAGCCGTGTCTTGTAGGCTTGTTGCCACATCCCCACCTGGGAATAAGGGGTTTGTGTGGGGATGAGTCCTTGGCATTTACCTCCAGGACAGGGAGCAGACCAAGCTTTTAGACTGCTGTTTTATGGGCAGTAAATTCATCTTATTTGTTTCTCACGAAAGAAACAAATTTCACAGTGAAACCTGAACACTGTCCATCTATACATGACCTACCCAGGGCTGCATTTGTTTCCTGTATATGAAAAAGAAAAGATTGAATGTTAGTAAAGGTTGGAGAACAGAAAAAGAGGAGACAAATTAAATATTGTATAACTGTCTGAGCATGCAGAAATCCAGGGTTCATATCATTAGAGAAGTTAGAGTCCTTAACTTTACACATACACGTATAGGTGACTTTGCATACAGGTGACTTTACATGTATAAGTAACTTTACATATATAAGTAACTTTACATACATAGATGGTCATGACTGATAGCAGCAAAGTAAACTGCAGCTGTGGAGATTTGTGCATAGTGTTGCAGCCATCACACAAAATCCCTGTACTACAGCAATTGAGCTCCTCTGTTTCCCATCAGTCTTGAATAAGTGTTTGTTAGAATCCATGAGGTTGCTGTTAGAACCCCTGAGGAAAGCATTCTTGCTTTCAATAGGGTAATCAGTTCTTTTATAATTAATATTTAATGGCAGTGTTTTTGAAATCTCTAAGAAGTAATCAATAGTTGATACACTTAAAGAGGGGTTATTTGCTTCCTCCCATCCACTATAATTATGATATATGTAAGCTTGTGGGCAGCGACCACAGAGAACACTGGAATTTGGATACTGGGGAGAGTGCAAGCTTATCTGAACAAGGAATAGGTGTCTGTGATTCAGAATAGATGGAAAATGTGCTTTCTGAGTGTGTACATGCATCACAATATAAATTCATATCTAAAGGTATTCACCTTCATATTTAAACTTTTTAAAAGGAAATTTATTTTGGAGAAAATATCTTCATTTGGATATGCTTTCATTTCGTTCAAAGCAATTGCAAGAGATGATATCACAGGTAACAGTATCACTAAAAGCAAAAATTTTTTTTTTGCTTTTACAAAGCAAAAAGTATATTATAAATATTTTGCTTTTTTTTTTTTTTATTTACAGAAACAACACAAATTTCTAACCCTAAGGCATAAGCAATATATGTATTTTTTCTTAGGACAAATATGTTATTTATCCAAAAATGCATTTTTTAAGATTGACTGCAGCTGTTTGTGATTTTATGCTGTTTGCTAAATACACCCCACAATAAATATTCTTTTCTAAAAGGAAATAGTTCATTTTGACACTTTATAAACAGAAGAGGTGTTTTGACTTTTTGTTTTGAATGAACACTCTAAACATAAATGTATATATACTAAATGCTTATGAATTATCTTTTTAGAAGTTATTGAAACTGAAATGTTACACTTAAAGTGAAATTTTTATTTTTATGTTTATTTTATTTATTTTATTTTATTTCAGACAACTAATGGATCTCTAGCTGTTTCTTCTAACTGCTTGAAAACTCAGACATTCGTATAAGAAGCACTGGACAATGAGGTATTCTGATGTGTCAGCAACAGTCACCCATTCAGAAATGGAATTCAGATGCCAACAGAAAAAAGTTGGCATCCCATAGCTTACAGTTCAGCTGAGACTGGAATTTATGAGAGTAAAAACACAATATGTAAAACTTTTACTGAACTAAGTGGAAACTACTTCAGAAATGTGAGTGATTAAGTTGATAAAATATTAAAAAAAAATACTCCACAAACCTATATCCTATTATGGTTTTCTTAGCAAGCTTGTCTGCTACAGGGAGCACACAGAGTTTATTATTTGCTATGTATCCATGTAGACTGTGGGTACTAATCACATCATATCCTAGCCCTCATCAGTGAGAAGAGGGGAGGCATCCTCTTTGTTTCAGTCACCCTAAATTTTCTCTTAAAGTGATGCCCTTAATATAGCTTGCCCTTCTTCATTTCCAACTTATTCTCTAAGGAAACTGAAAAGAGGGATACTCAAGGGCCAGGATCCAACTCTAGATCAGCAGTTCTCCTAGAGCAGACATGGTCTTTCATAATTGGTTTAACCAGAACAGCTCAGAGAAACAGGAGTTCAAAAATATCATTTCTTTGTATTAGAATAGTTGTAGACTCATAGAAAAGCAAACTTCAAACTGATGTCCAGAAAGACAAATTACAAATTAATCCAATGACAGGGAGAGCCAGTCATATATATATTTTATATTTTTCATATTTATATTATATATTATTTATATTTTATATTATTATAATATTATTAGTAGTAGGATTTTTAAACTAGCCAACTTTGAAGATCCCAAGATATTGCTTCATTTCTTATTACTATGCTATCTCTTGGTATAGTGTTTTTGCAGCTTAACTTTCACTGTTGCAACTTGGAACTGGTGTACTTGATCTTATTTCATCTCTGAGTCATGACATTTTTGCCATTTGTGTGATTAGCTACCTTTGTCATCATCTGCTGCACTGGAGCACCAACTTTTATATTTCAAAGGAGCAAATAAGTGAAAATACACAAATGTTGTTGCTTGTAGAAATTGAGCTTTGCTCTGTGTAGTTTCTGAAGCCCTCCAGCTCTGCAAATTGTTGGGTTTAGAGAGCACTGCAGACCTCAGGCTTGTGCTGATGTTTGATCTGGATTACAAGAAAATCTGCTGAGTTTTGTCAGGGTACAACACAGGAAAAGTGTCAGGAAATGGCAGCCAATGCTGTGAATAACACAGGCATTTGATGAAAAACTAGCTAAACAAAAGAAAAATGACTGTAGATGGTCCTAGAAAGCACTATGGCATTATATTCAATACATGCTTTTAGGTGTTCTAATTGTATCTGATAAATATATCTGAAATTAAGTCTCTAATTGGAAAAAATAACAACAGTGTGACCCTGAATTAATTAGAGTTATGGATTTCCCTAGTTTCAGTCTTACCTGTAGGTATATTAACTAAGATCTTGACACTTTTACATTTGCAAGTTCTTTCCATGAGATTACACAGAGTTCCAAAAAGGAAAAAAGTAAAACTGAAGAAGGTATTGATCAGTGGTCTTCAGCATGGTTTTCAGAGCACCTTTCTCTTCCAACTGAACTATTCTGTTCTGTTCATATCCACAGGAGAACTGCTTCAGTACTGGAGACAGGAGTTTGGAGCGCTCCCTTGTACAAGTATGCTTTGACCATTGCACTTCTTCACCTCCTGTATCTTGTTTTATGTCCTTCAGAGAAGAAAAGTTTTTGAAGAGAAGTGGTTTGCTGCTCCTTAGAAATGAGAGCAGTAGGCTTGAGTGCCCCTCCAGGCTCCTGTGAAGGCAAGAAAGCCTGATTTCTTGTTTACTCTCCTCTAACTTGACACTAAGCCAGCGACACTATTCATTCAGCAACACTATCCATTTTATAAGCTTTGTTTCAAGAAATACATGTTTGTGAGGGCCCTGAGCCCTGAGGTAATTCCTAGGAGTAACCAGAGCACATCCACAGCACTGACCCCTCTCCAGGCCTCCCTGATGCTCCGTGAAGGAGGGCAAGATCAGTCCATGCAATTGTTTAGGCAAGGCATTTTCTTGGCTGCAAAGCATTGCTCTGTGTGAGTTTTCAGTCCAGAATGGAACAAGACGGAACTTAGGCTAAGAGTCCTCCAGCTTCTGAGATCACGTTTCCCTTTTGTATTTTCTGTAAGATTTTGGGTACCAGGAGCATTGTTTTCTCTCCTTTTAGGTATGTACCACCCTGCCAAGGACAGATTATCACCCACTCAGGTGAGGAGAGAGTGAGCGAAGCTTTTTAGACTTCAGTTTTTGATTTAGTGCTCTGAGCATCCTCCTGAATTTGGTTTTATATTCCTATGTCCTTTTTTTTTTTTTTTTTGACTCTGGCTCTAAATCAAAAGAGGGTATATATTTTAGCCTTAGAGGTTGAAGAATCTGATTCTTTCTCCTGACAGTGAACAATGTCTTTAAGTGATGTGCAAGTCATGTTTAAGCGCCTCTTATTTAAGAAAGCAATCTTTCATTTGCCTTTGGTTTTCATGACAGTTTAAGCACTTATATGTTAATTTTTCTCAGTTCCACAGGATTAGAAATATTTCTTCCAAAGGATAAAATGAGGATGCAGTTGAGGAGGATGTGAAGTAGAAACCAAATTCAGGAGGAACATTTATTTTGAAATAAGAATCTGTCTCAATCCTAGTGATCAGATAAAATCTGAGTGTAGAGGTTTTTAAAATTTAATTTGCTGATAGGTCAGGAGTTGTGAAAAACTGATCTCCACATTTGTAATGCAAGTCTTGCCCACTGGGGAAAAGGCTTGTGACTTAGATTTCATCTTTTGCAGTTTGTTAAATGGGAAGGGCTCAGTTTGCTACATGATGTCATACTATGGAAATAAATACCCTTGGCTAGAAGCAATTATGCAGAGTAACTCACTAAGAACAACTGAGAGTGGCTCCAATGTGAGAGATGTCAATAGATACAGTGGACATGTCCACATATCTGTACATGTCCACAACCTGCAATTCTGTTTTATCATTTGTTTTCCATGCTATTTTTCATTGGACCATTGTAGCTCTTCCCTAGCAGTTTTGTCCAGTGTTCTATAATGAAATTATAAGGCAAATTAGGAAAATGAATCTGTAAGAATTTGACTAACAGAGGAAAGCCGCATTCAGCAGGTGGCTACTACCGGTTTTAGGTTTGTGCCTGTATATGTGGCTATGCTAATGGTATTATATATAAATTTAACTTTCTGTGTTAACAGCTGTAACTATTTAGTTTGTTTTTTAGCTCTTCTGTGTTGGATAAAGGCCTTACAGAAAGGAAAAAAAAGAATAAGGAAAAAAAAATAAGAACAAAAAAGTAGGTTTATTTTCCTCCGGCAGATATATCTGCATCCATTTCTGCTTTCATTCTTTCACCAGAAATGCCAGAAGTCAAGTGCAGCACCTCTTCTCAAGTCTATTGCCTCGGGATGGGGAGGCTGAATTTGTAATGTGGCGATCTGTGCTGACTTAAGCAGGCTCCTGTAGTTGCTTTTCCTGGCTCTCTGTGCCCACTGTCTCTAGAGGCTCCCAATATGCAAGGACAAAGGTGAGAAAAAAGAGTTTTACATGAACAGTTTCACACCTCCCCTGGAGACAAAAGTCATGCTGCAGTGCTATTTCTATTGTTTTATTTTTTGTTTGCTCGTTTTTTACTTTTCTGCTCTTAATTGTATTAGCTTGAGCTTTGATTTTAGGTGAGGACACAAATCTGGTTTGTCTTAAATCAAGTGCCTCTCAAAGTCTGTGAAAAGGAGGAGCCAATCCCAATGATAAAGAATGATGAATTTGTGACTCATCATTGATGAATCAATGATGAAGAAGAGGCTTTTATTCCTGATACCTGTAATCAATGATGTAATCACTTCTCCTTTACTCTGTTTTATTTTGGGTATTTGGTTCTAGTTCTATTTCTTTAAACTGTTTTTCCCTCATAAATCACCTATCTAAACTAAACCCCTCTGAACATCAATAAATGACATTAAAAAAATAAAATAAATTAAAAACAAATAGTATTAAAAAACTAACAGTGTAGAAAATTAAAAATGCCTCTTCATGCATGTTAAAAAGGCTTGATAGGGACAAATGATAGTGAATTTGTTCAGTGAATAAGTTGTTCCCATAACTGGAAATGTTATTTAACCTGCCTTTAAAGAAAGCAGAATGTAACAGTATCTATTTGATAAGTGAATAAGTACTGGGCAGTGTTAAAAGACAGAATGACAACCTTTTGTTCCAATGACGTCTGTAACAGAACTGACGCAAAGAAAAAGATAATACCTTTTATCAGTCCTTGTTTATCACACCCATATCATATCTTCATTTGTGATCATAGAGGGAGTTTCTACAGAATGAAAATACTGTTTTATTTGCTTGCCTAGTGAGCAGTTTTGCATTTATTTGAACATATGAAGAATCGGTTCCAATTTCTGTTGCTGCAATTACAGGCAAAAATACCACAGAGAACAGAAAAAAAAAAAAAATCAGTAACTGAGGGGAAGGAGAAGATAGGGCAGTAAAAAGCAATGGTGGCTTATCTGAATAACTGACTACATTCTCTAAGTAAAATTGCCAGGAAAAAAAGAAAAAAAAAAAAAGTCTGTTGTCTACCCAGCAGCAATAGCTACAATTATTGCATGAATAAATATAAAATGAATAAAATATGATTATTTTTTTATTTTGTCCATTATATGATTCAGTAATATGCTTTAATACATCATTGGCTCTGATAATGCAGTCTAGTTCCAGTTAGCCAGGATATGAAGCATCTGTAATCAAATGTTACTATTGTTTGAAAATTATCTTTTGAACCACAATAAGATCACCTGAATGCAGCAGACATTCCAAATGATAAAAGTAGTCCATAAGAACTACCTTGATCTTTACATGTCAAGAACTTTACGTTTTTGTTTATTTGTGTATCATGAACACAACTAAAAAAAAATAGATTAAAACACTTCTGTCTGTTTAGTAGGAAACAGTAATATGTGTGTAAATATTCTCTTTAGCCTGAAAAATAGTCATGACTAGCTTCTTAGCTCCCGGGAGTAAACTTCAAAGAAATGATGCACTTCTAACATTAGCAGACTCAGTTCACACTTCTTGACCAGCCAGCGTGGTTTTACTATTTGCTGTAAATGAATTTGACTTCTAATGTTTTTATTGTTATCACATGCTTTTCCCTGCTCAGATTGCTCTGCTTCCTTAAACAAGTTTCTCTTAACAGCATCCTCAAGTCACTCAACATCAAATAATGAACACACACCTGTTTGTTCTCTTTCATAGAATCATGAAGTTTGGAAAAGACCTTCAAGATCATCTGGTCCAACCATCTCCCTACTACCAATGTCACCCACTAAACCATGTCCCTGAGCACCATGTCCAACCTTTCCTTAAACACCCCCAGGGATGGTGACTCCACCACCTCCCTGGGCAACCCATTCTGATGCCTGACTACTCTTTCTGAGAGGAAATGTCTCCTAATTTCCAACCCCTTGTCACAACCTGAGGCCTTTTCCTCTAGTCCTATTGCTAGTTACCTGCAAGAAGAGGCCAGCCCCCAGCTCCCCACACCTTCCTTTCAGGTAGTTGGAGAGATCAATGAGGTCTCCCCTGAGCCTCCTCTTCTCCAGACTAAACAACCCTAGTTCCCTCAGCTGCTCTGTTCTACACCTTTGAAATGTTACAAGGATAGATTTTACTACTACATTTTTTATTGTGTTTATAATTCTGTTGTTGGAAGATTGAACTACTTCTTCATTAACTTAGTGGGGAGATTTCATGAATATATTTATTACTGTTCTCCAAATTACAGTTTGATTCTGTTATTGTCCTAGTTGCTTTTTGTATCCAAGAATAGAGAGTTTAAGGTGGTCTTTTCCTGTTATTAATTCTCCATGTGACATCAGACAGGACATGTACAGAGGTGCTCACAACTTGTTGTAATATTACATAAATTTCAATTATTTACAGTAGCAACATTTATGTTAGGGAGTGGCAGAAGACCACTCTTGCACAGACAGAAATTGGAAAGATAGTCCCTGCTCTGGATCTAAAGTCTACTTGTAAGACACCATGAAACATCACAAGACCAAAAAAAACACAGGTAGGGAAGTAGATGATACTGGGGGGGAGGGGAGGGGGGGAAGACTTCATTATGAGAAGAAGAAGGTAAATGGTTATAATGACCTGATGCTTATCTGAAAACAAATTTTGTCCCCTACCCCTTTCCCTGCCCTGCCTTGCCCTGTGTTTTCCTATAGGAGGACCCTGCTCTACCTTTTTAAGACCAATGCAGTGTCCAGGGCAGTGGGGGAAAGATCTCCCACTATCAGACAGCTCTCTATCTCTACACTCCTCTATCAATGCAAGTCCTGAGTGACATTAAAAGGTAACCTGCAGTAAATTTACCTTAATTGGAGTCCTTGCTTTTAAAAATTAATATAATTTATTAACTTCACATTTGACTAAAGCATGCTTGAATGTCTTCATAGAAATTACTTTTGTTAATAACAGCATGAAGTAAAAATTGGAACAAGTTCTTATATTTTTATGCACGCTGATATCTGACATTTCTAAAAACTCTGTTGTGTTCCTTTTGTTTGTTTGTTTTTAATAGCTAAGATTTTCAAACAAGCATATACATGTAGATGCTTTATCCTTTGTTAGAGAACCTAAAATGTAATATGTAGGTGAAACACAGAAACCACAGGAAAGGTGTCTTCATTACAGTATGACTACATATGAACTTATCATATGAACCAAGCATCTTTCATATGTTAGAGAGTTAGAGAGGAAAGAAATACAAAAGGTCTACAAGGTCTGTTATTATCTCCTTCCTCTGAGAACTGTAGTCAAAGACCAATATGAGAGTAGAATACGGGTTTTTAATTAGACCAGTGGGTCTGATTTTGGCTTCCAATGCACTATGCTGGGGCTCAGTAAGGCCATTTTATGTGTGTTAAAGTGTTTAGCTTTATTCTAGATCGAGGCATGACTTTTCTCACGGTTAAATTTGTGTAGCTACCTTTTCATTATAAAGCTACTCTGTGATTTGGCATTATTTCCTGTGGAGTTGCTTTTGATGACACAAATATTATGACTGGAGATCTTAGAATTTCCATAAATAATTAGAGAAGTTGTTGAAAAGAAACAGAATCTTTTTCAAGCATGGAGCCAAGAGAGGAAAAAGAAAAATAAACCAAACCACACATCCAGAGAATAGAGGAGGCCAGAGACTACAGTGTACATGTACATCCAGAGAGTATCATGGTACTCAGGCAGTGCATTGTAGAGGCAATGGGGGCTATGAGTAACCCAGTGGTGTTAACCTACCATCAAGGTAAAACAATTGCATGAGTAAATAAATGCACACAAGCAGCCACGCCAGACTTCTCTGCTTCCCAGTCTCTATTAGATCTCTTTGCTTTCTCCACCACTACTCCCACGTCTATAAAAACACAATCATCCAGGTAGATAGCCAAGTTATTATATATTTATTGTAGCAAAGGACACCCCTATGTTTTCTGAATTTATTGATCTTGGAGTTTCTTCTGGCCCAATGAGTTTGGTGTCTCCTTCCCAATGCTTGTACCATTGTGTTCTTATGCTTTTCTCCTGCCTGGAGATGCATGCCTGCACTGCATACCTCTTACTGCATACACTATTGAACTGCTGTAGTATGTCCATCAACAAGATACTTTTGATTGACCTGGGTTGCATTGGAAGTTAGTGGGGAACAGTAACTTCATCTGTCTCATCTGTGAGGCATAGAAGTACATTCACAAGCGTAGTGAAAAGCACAGCCTGAGCTGGTATGTAATGTTTGTTTTGGAATATATTTCAGTGAGTTTAATGTCTACCCCTTATCACACTTAGTGCATGAATGCATATTCATACTCAAATGCTTCCTCACCTGGCTTTCTGCAGACTAAGCTTCCCATTTGGTCCTATTGGTTTGGTGACATTTTTTCTTTTTACTTTTGCCTTTTTTTTTTTTTTTCTCCTGTTCCAGTTCAATCCTTACCTGTTTTACAAGCACATTCAGATCTACCAGGCTTCTCTGTTCTTAGCTTCCTGCTTCCACTGATGCTGCTTCTGATACTTGGAGAAGTTTTGTCTTGGTCACCATTACACTTTTATTAACCCTTTTAACTTTATTCATTTAAAACTCACTTCCTTACAAAAGTTGCCCTATGCTTATCTGCTCAGAATTGGCACCTCTCTGTTCTCTTTTATGTCAAAATAGCACATCTTTTTATCTTTGTCTTCATTAGAGTACAAGATTTTCAGCAATAATACTATTTTATTTACTTTTTTTCTTTTCTGGTATGGTCCAAAGGTATATGCATGAGATTATTTAGGAAGCTTTGACTGAGGTATAACAAATAGATATAGCTGGGGAGAAAAACAAAACAAAACAAATATTTGGACATACAATTATTCTTCAGGATTATACTTGGCTAAGAAGTTTGTTATTGCTTTAACAGACACGAAGAAGGGAACATGAGCAGAAAAACTTGTCATCTTTTTCTTCTTAATTAGTTTAATAAATGGTATTGTCACTCCCCACAAACATTTTCTTTAAGGATGTTCTATGGAGGGATAATGATTTTTTTGGATTCCTTAAGAAATTTATAGACTTACTACTGTCATACCATCTCACTATTACTTTTGCCAGCGTTTGTTTTTTTTTTTTTGTTTTTTTTTTTATATTTTATTTTGGGATAATCTCAAATAGGTGTATCATCAGGAACACTATGGAAAAACATTCTGTGCACAACTATTATTATTCCTTGAAAAAAGTCCTTTACAAAACTCCAAAATATTTTGCCATTGTCAACATTTCCAATTTTTGTAAATTTAAATTTTGTGTGTGTGTGTGTGTGCATTGATATCTTCTGCTTTGCCAATATTTTTACTGAAACTTTCTTCAATCAGTTTCAGTAGCAAGTATTCATATTTTCCTACTGCTCTCTGTAAAATAAATAAATAAATAAATAAATAAATTCACTATATAAGAGTTCAAAAAAATAAGGGTAAAGATAGCAGATATAGTATTGCTAGAAATGACTACTGAAAATACTGCAAATCTGAACAAAAAATCTGAAAAAATCCCCCTGTTGCATTTCAGGGAGAGACACTTGTCCTTTTACTAGCAAATGAAGTTTCATCAGTAACTAAATTAGAAAGAAATTTGTCATGCACTTTTTCCTTTCCAAAAAGCAAACTGAACATGTTTTTGAGCACATTGTCTTCAGTTGCAGTTACTACTAACATTTTATTGTTGAAAAGCTATTGTCAATGTTCTGAGACAAGGCTAAAAAGAAATTTTTTGTCGGCTATTCCAAGGATTAGGAAAGGAAATAATACCTCAGGACTTTCTAAATGAATATACCAAGCAGGATGAGATGTTTCCTGAATAAGCAAGGATTTGTAGCCCACACCTGCAGAAACTGGCTCTGTGGCTTGATATAGCTGAGCTGTGAAATTTTTACTTTTCAGACAAAGTTTAGTTTCCCCAGTGGAAGTTCTGTTCCGTGCTTAGTATTGCAAGTTCCTCTGATGGCAGGAGGCACCCTTTAATGGAACAAGACATAGTGTTTTGGGATTATTAGGTGCATAAACTGCCTACCAAAGCTTGTTCTAAAATCAAAATGCCTGCCGAATCAGCTTCAGGAGATTATTCCGCTACTCCTCTAAGTTTTATGCAACACTGTTTTCCTAGCTCCATTGTTCCCACATGGGTTCCTAAATCTGTGCTAATATCGAAGGATTACAATATTACAATTAATTAAGTGATCACTATTAGCACAGACATTAAGTAGTACATTATTCAATGTCAAATAGTGGTTTGATCCCCAGTTCAGTGCTGCGATATGTTCTCAAACTCAGCTCACTCCCACGATTACCCACTACAGCCTTTCCCAGGGAGAAGGTAGCAGAGTTGAGCAAAGAGTTGCTGCCAGCATTCTGTTTGCTCCTCAAGCCATGCAGCAGAATTGGTGCTGCAGGGGCCAGTCCAACCCAGCAGCAAGGAGATGCAAAGGAAACCCCTCTCTGGCTCTGGGATATGCAGAGCTCAGCTAACAGGGAAATGTACACACAGGGTTACCATTTTCTTTTTTTTTTTTTTTTTTTTTGGTCTGTGACCACTCGGGTGCTCTGCATGACTTTAAAAAGAACTGCAAGCACAAATAAATAAATAAAATGACAAAGATGATGTTATTCTAAGAACACCGTGTTTGTGTAACTCTGAGACAAACATTAAGCTCTGTTTAAAAAATAGGGTGGAAGCAAGTAACATAAGGTGGGGTTCACTGTATAAAAATATGATCTCAGATC